GAGGAAAGGGTTATGGGTACAGTTGGAATGACCTGTGGAGAAAACTGTGGAAAAGTCAATCAATTAGTTTTCAACAAGTGGTTGGGAGACGGTCCCTTTGAGTTTTATGCAGGCTGGCGAACGAGCTCAGGCTGACACTATTGTGCCTTCTTTGCTTGGCCAAGAGGGTCATATGGATTGTAGAGCAACCCGTTGGATCAATCCTACCTCTCCATCCCAGATGGGATTGGTTCCAGAATCAAATTTGTTGGGAGTCTCAACTTAACAGCTAGCTGAGATTTTAAAGTTTCTATTCACAAACGACGGCCCCACAATCCCGTGCTTTGGCTGAGGTATTCCGACAGGCCTTCTGGCTTGGTTTGTATCCAGGTGCAATTTCGCCAAAGCGCTTGAAGGCAATGAGCAACTCCCGGTTGATAGCCGGCTTGAACCTTGGAGTGCTCACAAAAAAGAAGAAGGAGGGTTGCAGCCATGTGAAAACAACACGCACCTAAGAAGCAACCCTGTGGATTTCTTCTCTTCTTGGTGATCCCTTTTGAAACATGTGTTACCCAAACTCAGGCAAATATATAGATGCTGGTGGGAAGAAGCGCTACGTCGGAGAACGCAACAATTTGGAAGCCACAAAGTGGGGTCCTGAATATTTGGAATTTATAGTGAAGCCGGTCAAACCTAGCAGAGTCCAAACCAGTTCAAGGGCACCAGTGTTCCTGCTCGGCCACCAAGGGTGTATCCAAAATCTCTGGGGGTAAGATTGGTCAAGCTCTACCAGGACTTTGGCCATTGTGCCAGGATGGACCTCAGGTGTAAAGTGCACATAGATCATACAGCCACAGACCGAGAACTGTTTATGAACATGGAAAACTCTATGGATTTGTGGTTGGATGCAGAACTTCCATCTGTTCTCCTGTATCTAGCAGAGAACAAGCACCTGTCAATTCCAGCTTCTTGGCATGGATGCATGATGCAGTTCATTGAGCACGTGAGGAGGGAGGTGCTTTGGATCAATTGGAATTTGCAGTGTCCACACAATAGGGCTTCTAAATGGGGGGGGGTGCTTGGAGGCTACATTAGACCTCTACTGCTGAAATGGGACCCCCCAAGCTTCAACAAGTATCATGTACACCGAGCCGGCTTTGTTCAAGGTCCGCCCAGAGCCTTCATCATCAAGAAGCGACTTGGGGGTGGCTACGTGAGGTGTGAACCTTTCTGCAAAATTCGAGCACTTTTGCCATACCAGTGTCGGGTAGCAACATTGGTTGGCGCTAACCGAGCGCAAATAGGCGCTAACTCGAGCGCAATTTCCACAAAGCGAGCGCAATCTAAAAAAAAGGTACCAATGGTGTTTGAGTTCGAGCACTTTTGACAAGTTCGTACCTTTTTCAACCTTTAAAAGATTTTAAAAGATATGATGTGAGGGTTTTGCTCGAAGCTTGATATGTCTGGCTTGCGTCGTTCCCTTACTACTTTCATGGCTGGGGTACCGCATTTGGAGAAACAAATGACATTGCCTGATGAGCAAATTGATATCGAGATGGAGATTGAAGTTCCCCAGTTGCACCTTCTTTGAACTTTATTGCCTCATGCCGCATGCATCGTGCTTTCGGCTCTGCGTTCCCAGACCGCCCTTTGCAGCCAGGCTTCGATGAAACGGCTCCAGCAACTTCAAGTGCAGATCACGCGGCAGGGCGATGATCCCACACCTCCTCCGCAGCCAAAGCAAGCAGTGCCAGGATTGAGGGATAGGTTCTGGGGGGGGGCATGTAGAAAAATCATTGATTATTTGGCGCCAACTGGACCCATCCCATTTTCAAGAGAAAGCACGCCTCGCAAGATCCTTTAACATGTGTGCATGGATTCTCTCACTTAACATGATCAAAAAACATCTCCTTCACTTGTGTCGGTTCTGGCGACATGAGACATCTATCCTTCACTTGGTCTGGTGTGCCCCTTAATATGGAAGCCCCAACCAACAGGAAATAGTTTTCATTCATGGTTGATTGCAGGACAGCCATCGGAGGCAATATCCAAGGGCTCGTTTGCAGCAGGCACAGTGCAAGTGCCTTTGGCAGAGGGGGGGGTTCATGAAAGATCTGATTCCTGCCAGTGATGCCATCTCACTTCGTGAGTCTTGGGATGAACACGCTGAAACCCCACTGGATGACAAAGTCTATGTTGAAGAGTGGCCAGATTCACAGCCCCAAGAGCTGACGCCTATTACTCAAGCAGACAGCTCGTACAGGCTTATGGCATCTCCCAAGGTTTTGGAGTTGGATCACCCAGTGGACAAAAGTCCACAAGAGATTGTTGAGCTCAAGCAGGAATGTCGCCGTGTGTGTCAGGCACTCCAAGATGCCTTGCCATGTCTCAATAACTCAACACCCAAGCTGTTGAGTTCAGTGGCTGAAGAGCTAGGTGTTGACCCTGATGCTTTGTCAGGTTTACTTCAAGTTGCAAACCGGCTCCCAACACCAGGGCAGGATCTTGCCCTTGTAGGCGAGAGTGGGGCTGTGAAGGACACTTTGCAGCCACCTGTGGCAGCTGATGTGGAGACCCAGTCAGATACATCAGCCAAGAAGAAGGGTGTAGCTAGTGACAAATACTACTGGCAGTTTCTCGCCTGTGATTGCTTTGTGCAGTTACCTTGATCACGTGTTGCTTTCCACCTTAGGTGTCAACACCCCACTTCCTTTTCCCAGGCTTCGCCGCTATTGCACAAGTGGTGATGTGAAGGCTTCTCAAGATGTACTTGAGATGTACAAAACAAAAGATGGGCGTACCTTGCCTAAGTAGTGAGTCAACAAGTACTAGTGCTCGCGTCCAATCATTCTGTTGGCCACTGTGTTTAGGAAAGAAGCTGCTGGAGATCTTGAGAGAGAACGGGGGTGCACCTGAGAAAATGGAGGTTGAGGTAAAGAGGTGGCGCAAGCATGTCCTCGACAAGAACAAGGGCGGTGGATGGTACACTAAGGAACAACTGATGGAAACATACCGCTACACACAGTGTCTTGCACACAATTGATGCAAAACAAACCCCACAGAAATCTAATCCCCATCTTTGCTCAGTGCACATTCCAAGGTCAATGGCTGATTCTTCCTTCGTGTGGGCAAAATCACAGCCTGGCTGCTGGAGGGTGAACCCTGTCCATGGCGCTGAGGAAGCACGCTTGGTTGTACATGAGACCTTCAACATGAACTCCCAAGAAGGGAATGAGATGGGGACATCCAGTGGATTCACAGCTGAGGACACCAAGCTCAACTGTTGATCTACGTACACCTCAACTAACAATCATTGCAACATGCTTGGTGTATGTTTGTACCAAGGACTCCCAGGGGCATATGCTCCTCAACGCTATGGATCTTGACACACCACTAAACCCAGAATACCCTGATGCTGCCCTATCGGAAGAGCAGGCAGTGGCTGCTGGCATTGCTGCCCAAAGTGGGAGTTTCAAGCTTTTTGGTTGCGTTGAGCCAGATCTCACCCTGTTGCAACACATGCGGCTGACACTTCCCATGTCTCCTCCGATAAGGCTGTGCTTCCCATCAGTCTCGCAGAACATCTCGATCTCGAGCTTGTTGCCTCAGTACATCAACACTTTAGGCAAGAAGATTGACCTGGCAGATGAGGTGAAGGAGACTCAACAAATCCAATCCAGTTCAACTTGTGTTTCAAGAACAGTTCTAACTTGCTATGACTCCATTAACTTTGGAAGGAGAAAATCGGAAAGAACCCCAGTGATCGCGCCAAAACGTTGCTTGACTTGGCTGATGTTCCCATCAATTTTGCCTGCGTAGAGGTCATTGAAGTTCATAGTTTATGGGTTGTTTTCTCACTGAGGTTGGCAAATTCAATTGGCACAGCGATCAAAGACATGAATGCCACCTATGATGAACTGGCCAACTGTCAGTCTGAGCTCATCTCTGGGTTGAAGAAAGATAGGCTGGACAGGACATTCACTTTTACTTGGTGTGTACCTCTGTGTGTCACAGTCCCAGACATGCACCCTTAGAGCGAGTGTGAACATTTTGACCATCCCTGCAGTGATGTGAAGTCGACATTGCGGGACTTGTATGTCAAATGCACGCGGCTGGATGTGCAGCTGAACAATTATATCCAGAGGTCTAAGAAGCCTAGATTCAAATGTGCATGTGTGTCACTAGCTAGTTAGTTGCACCTTGCCAGCACACTCAATCTACTCTCTTGCCAAGGAACCTGAAAAGTCCAGCCACAGCCACTGGCAAAGCCAAGGCTTCTCCAGCTCCCAAGCGTTCTGCAAAGCGGGACGCCAAGGAGACCAAACCGGAGGAGGACGATTCCAAGCGCAAGCGACAGCGTCGCGCCAAGGATTAGGGGTAGTTTGATCATTGGGCCAGGGGTGGTGCCCTTTGACTTTTAGACTGCAATTCAAGGCCTGTGGTATATGCGTGATTGCTGTGACCACAGGGGATTTCGATCAGTGGTTGGATGGATGATGAGAAAAGAAACTGTTCTGAACATTCTCCCTTAAAGCTTGCTTGTGCATCAGCTGGGTCTTTTTTAAAGTCCTGCCTTCTTCTCCATCGCAGGCTTTGAATCTGACAGCGAAGAGTCCAATGAAGACGCTGATGGCCTGGAACCCCAAGTCCAAGTGAAAATAAGTGATCATCAAAAATTTGGGTATTGCCATTTGCCCAGGCAGTGATTCCTCGGACCCCTTGGAGAATGAGCTCATGACTGGGTTTGAGGACGGGGTATCTTGGAGGCAAATTCGCTTGTTTGAAGCCTCTGCGCCTGACAGCCCCTTTGTGCCTCATGATGCCCAGGTGGACTCTGCAAGGCGAATTGTTAGAGTCGCTGCTGCTGCAGCTCGAAGAATGGAAAAATATGGTACCAAAGCTGCACTCAGATGGAACAAAAACAGAAATTGCAAGCAAGATGTGGACAAGTTGTTTCAACTTTTCTTCATATTCTTCACTGCGACTAGTGATATTGCTACTAAGGGTTTTCCGACAAAAGAATGGGCCGGTTGGCAAGATGCACCACCAACCACTCCAAGGAGAAGAATATCAGGAGGAACCTTCACAAGTGGGTGGACAGGAGTGGACGCCAGTTGAACATCGAGATCAGCTTTGTGAGCTGCCCCGTTCGGACGATCAGAAAGGGGCAGGTGAAACAAGAGGTTCAAGCTTGGCCTGTGGTGCATTTCAGTCAATGGCTGAGATGTGCTCTTCAAGACTTTGGGGGCAAGCTAGTGCTAGGAGGGCACCACATCACGGAGCAAGGTAAGTGGCAAGGCTTGTTCCAAACCTTTTGGGACACGTACAGGTCTGTTGACCCACAGCACCCCATCTACGACAGTGTGTCCCATGGCAACCAGTGCCTCTATTTGCCCTACACCTTTCATGGTGATGAAGGCCGTGGAAAGAACAAGACCCCTCTTTTGATCGAATCTTTCCAAGTGGTCCTGACAAACAAGGGTGTCGACCATACAAATTTGAGTGGGTTCCCTGACCTGACTGCAGCAGTAACTTTCAGTTTTTTTGGGGGGGGTTGTTGGGGATAGTGGGTGGCAACTAGAGGACAGAGCTCTCTCTTCCCACAAGCCCCACCAGCCAAGGCACACCTTCACCAACAGGTTCTTGTTCACTGCGATGTCATCTACATCGTACACCGACAGTTCCTTAGATGCGCTGCACCAGGGCATGGCTGAGGATTTGAACCGGCTTTTCACTGAAGGGGTAGAGGTGACCCTACCAAATGGCGACCATGTCAGGGTCTTTGCTGCCTGCATTGGTGGTAAAGGGGATTGGGTCTATCTTCGGAAAGGGTTTGGCCTATCCACTGGCTGGAATTGCAGACGGCTGTGCCATTGGTGTGACTGCCAGGCCGCTTAGTGGCTATTGATCTCAGTGTTTTTTTGACCTAGTAGGGGTATGTAGGGGTTATGTCCGTAATCCACACCCAAAACTATGGACCATGCTCACTGTTCACCAGTATGAAAAGGGTGTCTGAATCATACATGTGTCCCAATTTCTTAGATATATGGAGCGTGCAAACACTTAGGAGTGGTGGATCTGTGGAGAGCAGTGTTCTGTTCGCGAGTGGGAGTCAGTGGATGGCTACCCCAGTCCTTTCAAGGCAAACGAGGGGGGGGCCACTGCGTAGTGTGATCGGCCTTGATTCACCCTACAGAGCCAGGCCAGACCAAATGCATGTTTTTGCCTATGGATATGGCAAAGACTTTGCCGCCAGCAGCGTGGTGTTGTGTTCCCGGATGAAAGTATGGCCTGGAAGCTCCATGCAAGCCAGACTAGATGCAGGCTATGCATCCTTCAGGTCTTGGCTCAAACTCCATCGTCACACCACAAGCCTTTCCTTTTTCAGCCTGAAGGTCTTCAAAATGGGGCAGACATTCTGCTTGGTTGAAGTTGTTTTGCAAAAGGTCATGGAACTTCAAGCTCAATTGAATCTAGAATTTTGGGGTTACCCAAAATGTAGTTTGCTAGCTTGAAGTTCCAGGGTCTTGCACTCAATGATTACTTTTTCTGGTGCCACCTCAACCCTGCCCAAGCCCCCACTTCAGTTTTCCTGAAGGAGTGCAAACGCGTGGCCCACTGGATGCGGGAAGGCGTTTGATACCACCTTAGTGTCCCGCTGGCTAGAAGATGAGCTGGCCAACTGTCAGAATGTGGCGGCTCCGAGGAAATTTGGTATTGGCCAGGGTGTGGCTCAAGATTGGGAGAGGACCAAAGCACATTAAGGTAAAGAATAGGGAAGACCCGCCTTTTTTGAGCCAAACCCGTTTGGGATCTAGGGAAACTTATGTTTTGCTGGCCCTTGAAGACAGGGGCAGGCCGCCACAAACCCTATAATTAAGTTGTTTCTCATTGGGGGCTCTAGGAGTGCCCAAATCTTATCAGGTGCCGGACTTGACTGAGATCTTGGAGGTCTTGAAGTGGACACTCAAGCACACCAACATCTACTTCAGGGTTTTGCATGGCTGTGGTATATGGATACCCCGGGCCGACGCAGAGAGGGCTGTGCCAAGTGGATGGAATATGTGTGACACTCAAACTGCTGATGTACCAGTTTTGTTTTTTTGGGGTGAGCCCTTGAACAAAAAGGGTTGTTGCAGTGTTTGTTTTTCTATGGGTTGAGCTTCCGGGCAAAAGCAACAAGGAAGGGTACGGGACGCTCGCCTCTCTGTGCAACCATCGGGGGTGGTGCCTCTACCAAATGCGCCCGAAACTTCACCTTCAATTACTCCTGGTGTACCCTAGTTGCAACAAGTGTTTTTGTTGACTCCTCTTCTTCAGTTTGTGGGCGTACCCTGTCCAAGGCGAGATATTCAAGTTCAACTGAACCGCGGGTGTGAACACCTGTTCAATGTCTTGTCGTGGTCTTGTTGGGCCGATGAAGATTTTGTAGGCCGCTGTTGCAGAATAGGGCGTCGAACACACTCTTTCAATACAGCTTTGCGAGTGCTACAGGTGACAATGATGCAGTGCAAGAGGCACTGGAAACAGAACATGTGAAAGTCGGTCTAAGGGCCTGACCTGACTCGCTGGATGAAAAAGTTGGTGAAGGCCAAGAAGTGTATGTGCATCTGTGCACAGTTTGTTGAGATTGTGTCATAGTGTTGGCATGTGGTACACAAACGAGCACTTTCCAAAAACTCGACCTCTTTTTGGAGTTGGAGTCGGTGTGAATAAGATCGAGCATGTTTTGTGAACAATTCCCTCGAGCAAGAAAATAGGTACCACTTGAGGGACCAGGTATACATATATAGCTTATTCAGCGCTTGGAGAAAAGGACGGAGAATGGGCACAACATGAAAACATGGCACACGTTGCCTGCGATTCTAATCCGGGGTGATTCTCAAAGGTGATATACCACTGGCTTGCAAACAGTGCAAATAGAGGGACGAGATCAACGGAGATATCGTTGGCTCAGGTAGTTTGAGCTGGCTTACTTGTGACGCGCAGTCTTCCTCTGATACAGTTTGGACTCTACAAGCGATATGGCGGTTGAAGTCGTCCAACTCCACTTTAGGCAAGCAACTTGTCCGCATCTTCCACCCTGATCACCCGCTTCACCTGTCACAGCCAACACTTGAGGTCAACCTACAATGGGCCACTCACGATATATGTTTGATTTCCACCCCAAATATCCCCAAATATGTTCAATTATTCTGAAACACTACAGCTTCGTGGCCTGAAAGCCGGTGGGCAGTCCCGGATTTCCTCCAGGCCGGACACAGGGACAGCCGCCTCACCAAGGCGAGAGAAACGGGCGAGTCGAAAAGGGTGGCCTCTGGATGGGAAATGGGACACCACAAGTACAACTAACTAATATAATAGAATCTTCAATTGAGAAATGTGACTTTCCAGCCCCAAGAGCAGGGTATGTCGGTGTATATATGATGATGTATGTAGTATGTGTACTGCAGGATTCGTACTGGGTGGTTGCCAAGTTGCACAAAAGGTCGGGACAGCCCAGAGTGCTAGCCCACCCAGTCCCATGATGGTCAGCTGTCGCGGCCAAGCCGTCCAGGCCTCTCATCTTTTCATGCGTTCCGCTCGGGCAAAGCCGATCTTGTGTAGGAATTGCCCGGTAGGTGTAATTCACGAAGTCCTGCAGAAGCAAAACTGCAGCTAGGCCGGGACAGCAGCAAATAATAAGGGTTCATTTACAGTCCCACATGTCTCTTGTCCTCTTCAAGGGCAGTGTTGCCGGGGGGGGCGTTGTTTTTCCCCAATAGCGATAGCTTGGGGTTGTACACTCTTTAGGCGGCTGGGCGCCGTCCGATCCACAGCCGTGTTTGGGTGGTGTCTCGCTCTCTCGGTTCTGTTTGGGCGGTATCTCGGCCATGTTTCGCAGGTGTCTTGCTCATACTTGGGTGGTGTGCTGGTTATGTTTTGGTGGTGTGTGTGTGTGCCTTGTTTTTTCTGATTTGGTGGTGTTGGTGGTGTATTTTTTTGTTTTGGCGGTGGTTTGTTGATGTTTTGGTGGTGTCTCTCTTATTTATGTTGTAGTTGCGTCTCGGGCTCTGCTTTTGCGTGTATGAACTGTGCGCTTGCATGTCCATTGGACCTGGTGCACATTGGGTTCTAGCACTTGCACACTTTATTGCGCGTGCGTGTATAAACTATGCGGCGATATGTAACAAAACTGTTTCGCTTGTCGAGCTTCTCGTATTGTTTGTACAACATCTGAGCTGGCGAGAGAATGTGTGTTCCTTATGTCGATATTTCCTGTTGCCGCCTTTTGAACATATATGATATTAGCATTCAAATAAACTACGTGCTTGCGTGTCCAAACGCGTGTCGTCCGTGGCGCAAGTGCTTGAATTTTGCCCCCTTGAGAATAATTGCATTCATTACGCCTGTCGTATATATAGATCATGCCGCCGTGGTGAAAATACACTGTGTTTTCCTTTGGTGGTGGTATATTGTTGTCATATGGTTGCATTGATTCCCCATGATATTCTTTGAAACGTCTCATTCCTTGTCTGTGTGGAGATGAGCGCGCCCATGCCCAAACACCTATTGTGCTTAGTGTGATTTTTTTGTGTATGTTTTCCGCTGGCGCTTGATATCTTTTGGCGAGTCTGCTTTTTTAATGCACAAATGGCGTGCACATACTTGACATTAAAGTTCGGCCATCGGCATACATTCATGGTGCTCAATAGAACATACATGAACATACATTCTGCTTGGGTATGGAACTTTTTTGTGTAACTTTGTGGCTCCTTTTAACAACGGCAGTGTTTTTCCAAAATCACATTTTTTTTGGAACAAAATGCCCGATTGTAGACCGGGTGTTCACTGAAGGATTTTTTGTGCCTAATCTATGCGTGCGTCCTCAAGTGCACTTTCTGTGTGTTTTGGTGGTGATCTTTTGTCGTCATCAAATCCCGGGGATGACTTGCTTTTGGGGTTGTCAGCTGGGTTAATTCAGATAAAAATCCAGTAAATCAATTTCAACAATCAGTTTCGAAGCTTCTTGACCAGATTCCAAATTCCAAATAAAATGTCCTGAAAGAGCTGCATGTGTTCATGCGGGACGTACCTTCGCTCTCCAGGACGATTCTCTCAAAAGGTGCACTTGTGTGGGAAGTCTGTGTGGTCCCTCTCATCTTTGTTGAAATCAAATCTGCCACAAAGTACCCACGAGAAATTGCCTTTGAATATCGGCCTCGTGACCTGTCAAATCTCATGCAGCTCAGTTGCCAAAGCTGCGAGAAGGCCAAATAGTTTTGGCTCACCTAATTGTTGGGACACTGCTTGGATGATGCTCCTTTATTTCAGCTCAAAACGCAACTCTTCTGTTTCAAGGCCTTTTGCCCCCACCCTGTTCTTGCATTCACTGTTCCATAATAGATCTGCTCAACATTGCTCAACCATGACCGTCACGACCGCACATCTCACCTATGTCGATGTGCACCACCAAAGAGGTGCGCCCAGACTGCCCACCCCTCCAATCGCATACTTTGCAAACACAGCACAGACATGGATGCACATGGCCATCAACTCCAAGGCACGTAGGTGTAAGAGAGGTGAATGGCCTCCCTAGCACCCACCCAGTAGTCCGGCACACTGCTCAAAGCCTCCTCGTTCAGTGGTGCCACCTCATCCGCACTGGGCTTCGACCATCCAAGTCATGAGAGAAAACGTTTCAAAAGAAAACATAGACATAGGATACAGGCTATAGGATATATATCCCAAGCACACATTCATCTAACATCTTCTATTATTCTATTCCACACCTGCCCCGGAACCTCCTCCAAAAGCGGGTTGACATTCTGCTCCAAACCTCTCTTTGGCCCTTGCTCAGTCACATCTTAACTTTCCCTTCCCACATCATGATCAAACAAGTGAGTTGTCTTCCCCGTGCTTTCAAGAAAGGGTTTGCAACTAACATATGGATTAATATTGTGTTTCGGGACATTCAATGCACATATTTTTCTAAACAACACACTTGGTTTTAGGTAGAGTTTCGCCCCTCAGCGCCGGCTGCAGCAACCCCTGCAGCGGTAGCCTAATGGTCCCAAACTCACTGATATTTGGGTGTTCGCATAACATAGCATAGCAGGCGTATGCAGGCGTATTCACTATATTCATCCTAGCGATTAATCTTCCCAGGCAGCCTTCTCTCCGCTGTAGGTGCGGACAACAGTTTTGCCACCGACAACCACTGCCACAGGTCCACGGTCAGAGACTGGCCAAAGAACCGGAAAAACAGGAATCGTTTGGCGAACTGTCAACAATAGTTAAGTTAAGTTCCTGATTGTTTTATATTGTCTCTCATGGTTTGATCAGAATGTACATTCCGCACGCAACTAACAATCTTTTGTATCAATTGAATCAACGCCCTAATTTCTACTAGTCGCTTGTGAACTTGTTGCTTGGCCCTCAACCCCGGATCCAAAAAGCAGGCAAGGAAGGTGCTGGAAACTGGCGTACTCTTGAATTGCTACTAATGTCTTGCACACGTGACATTGTCAGCGTGAGGCTGAAATTGAAATTTCAAGTTCTGTCAGGTTGCACACCTATGAGGCACGGCTCTCGCACAAAGACTGTGCGAAAAGTGAATGTTGTTGCTTCACATCATGACGTGGCTGCTCAGCGTGAAACCATCTTGGCCACTTTCTCGCACACTCCCTTTGCAGGCTGTCCAATGGAAAGGTCGCTTCAACATACAACCAATTCAGAAAGGCAATACGGCTGATACCCCACGGACAGGGGTGGCAAGAACTCTCTGCAGCTTTCGTGCTCTTCAGCATTTGAGCTGACGACGCGGATGGGCAGCCTCAAAAATACAAGAAGGCAACACGGATCCTTTGCAAGACGATGCTAAAGCTTAAGCCATACAAAGCCCACGTTATATAATCCGGCCAAAGCCCACCGATGCACCCAATTGAGTTGTCACTGTCCTAGCAATCAAAGCTTTGTGCCTTTGGTTCTTGCGCTGCGCAGTGGAAGGACAAAGTTCTGCTGGGATGTCCTCACGCTTGATATGTTTGAGTGCCCTCTTTGGCTTTCTCCTTTGCGTGAAGGCCCTGGGCGCAAATGTGTTTTCATGGTTTTCTCATTGTTCTGCTCTACACACGCACTTCACAGATGCGAGCAATTTGCACGTTCAAAGCTGCTTCTCAAAGGACGAGCTGGGGAGGATCTATGCAGTATCTGTTTTTCTTTCGTCTTGCACGGAATGATTTGCCAAAAGGCACGTCTTGGACAGCAATCTGTCGCCATTGCTTGTGCCGCCATGAGTTCTCGGCTGCTTCCACTATTTCTGGGATACACGATAGGGCAAAACTACAAGTAGAATGATACTCCCTCTTCCAAATGACTGCGTGTTCAGGAACATGCAGGAACCATCTGAAATGTGACTGTCTGAACGTTAGCTGTTAGCTTATCTCATCTCCATATTTATGCACGGGTTAAAGACTTGAGTATCAATTGTGTGCGCATGAGCGGAGGAATATCCAAGTTTCAAGCATTGTTAGGAGCAATTCAGAACTTTTGTGTATGAAAGGCTGAAACTGTCTGATTAGTGGGTTTCCCAGCCCTTTATGTTTGTTTACAAGGCAAGTACTGTATATAACAGCACAATCGACACCCTTGCCGCCTCGCTCTCTTTCTTGTGCCTTTACGATGCAGCTGAGAAAAGCAAGGAACAATCGTATATAATCTGCCACTTTTGTTGAGAAAAGTTGGGCAAAGAAAGCCGATCCTTTACAAACATGAGGTGCTCCCTGCCTTTGTCAAGCGAATCCGTCGGTACAGCATGTAGACCTTATCAGCCACAAAGTTTTTGCATAAATAACAGCTACGCTCTGCCTCCAATATTCTAAAGCGGGGAGCAGTTGCTGTAGGTGGGCATCTTACCTTCAGAACTGAGCGTTCTTCACACCACCAGCTTTAGTGCAAGAGGGGTGCGATTGTCGAGCAAATCCAAATCATTCCAAAGGAGATGCTCAGAACCTTGGATCTACAACGCTGGAGATGTGGGAGACACTAATGCTATCATGCAGGCGTCAGCGGGATGTCTTTGTGTTGGTTCTTCCACGCACACCTGTGCATCAGTGCCCACAAAGACACCACCAGTGTTGTGAGAACAACGTTCTCGTCCTCCTCGTCCGCTGCAGTCCTTACGATTATTGCAAGTCAAGTCGCAACTGTGAGTGGGACAAGGACACGCATAAGCATGTTTTCAAAATGGTCTCCCCTTGCCAACATCGCACGTCTAAGTGCAACGTCCCGTAGTCGAGTCGATATCGAGCAACGCTTATGTAAAGACACTTTTTATACAACCGCTGAACTTGTGCCGCTCTATAAAAGACCGAGCTCGTCCAGTCATCTTAGTGAAGTCAGCGGCACCGGCATCACATACTGACTGGCTAAAGCGGAGAAGCTGCAACGGAGCCCCTAAGGCCCTAAGGCGCCAACGATATTTTGAAAGTAGATGTTGTCGTGCTTGTCGTAGTGGTGACAGTTGGGATCTCCCGAAAAACCTGGCGATCTCTTAATGGGGTAAGCTCCAATCCCATGGCATGGCGCAAAGGAAACTTGCAAAAGCCTGGGGGTCCAGGGTCTTATCTGCTACGGCGCAGTTCTTATATAATAGTTTGATGGGACTTGATGATCCTGGCCGCTTACCAAGTGTCAAACCTGACTTGAAGGATCAAAGACCCGCACATCATCATTTAGTCTCTCAGTTCGTGATTCTGACTGAGCTCACTAAGTGCTGTCATGATACTGGTGGATCAACATAGCGGGAGAAACTACCTTGGTGAAGCAACTCTTGACAGTGGATAGGTGGCCCACGGACTTTCCATCTAAAATGGACGGGCCAAGCCAAGCGGCCAAAAGTGCCAAAGGCATTGACAAGCACATCCATTGGAACGATCTGGTTGAGCATTTCTGAAAGCAAATCCAATTGTCCTGCCATCGCCTCCAGCCAAACAATAGAGCATAAAACGATTGGTTGCTCAACAACCTGCTGCCAATGCCATGTCCATTTGCTAAGTCGTCTTGTTGGAGCAGCTCCTTCAAATCCGCAGCTACGGTCAGGGCCAGCTCAGCAGCATTTGGGGTGTCCATGACCTGAAAAAGCACTGGAGACAAGCCCAAACCAAACCTTTGAAAGTAGCAAAGTTGTCGCATAGGGTCGCTCGTCGCAAGTGCCGCTACAGGCACAAGTTTCACTCTCAAAGTGAAGCCCATGGAGATTTCCGCCAGCATGTTTCGGCCATCCTCCTGAGGTCAAGTGATCTATACAAATGGTGATCACCTGCAGCCCATGAACGGCTCACAGGTCGCTGGGCATGAGCGCAGCATTTCCAATTGACCCCACGAGATGGATGGCTGATGGACGTGTTCTCCGAGGCACTTGGAGTCGTCGATCGCTGTCTGCCATGCAGATTGAACCGCACCCCGCTCAAATCGGCAAAAAACAAAACACTCCATCACCATCACATGGTTACATAGCATGACCCTATGTGCCACATCAACTGGACGTATGCGAAACGAGTCGGGACGAGGTAAGCTTCCCTGCCTGCCCATTGAGATTTGGGCATACCTCAGAGATTGGACAACATGGACGCCAAGTCAAACACGCTCAGGAAGTTGACCGTGGCCCGTGCGTGAGATCAAATTAATCGAATGCCTTGGATCACGCAGCGTCATTCCCAGCAAAGTTCGGGCAGCGATTGTACATGCATCCGAGTTATTCCGAGTTGCGGTGGAATTGCCAGCATTCGCGCAAATTGCCCTGCGAGTACTGGAATCCATTTCTTTGGCAGAACGCATTCCCCCAGCTGACTTCGGCAAATAATCACCAAAGAGCCCTCAAACCTGTGCTGGAGCAAATGCAGTGTTGTAGTTGGCGAGATGTTGCAAAGCAAGCAGCCGAAAAGCTTCATGGTGATTCAATGATCAAGGGGAACCTTCCTCACCTAACAATAAAGTCTATGTCTACACAGCAAACATCCCTGCTGGGTTCTTGGGTGAGGCTAGCTTTCTCCATCTTGTCGTGGCCAAGAACC